AATATGAAAAAGTGGTTCACAAGCAAAATCTCAATGGAACTAAAATTAAGACTGGTCAAGTGTTATGTCTTCCCGGTCTTGTTGTACGGAGCAGAGGCATGGACCACAACGGAAGCCTCCCTGAAGAAACTAGAGTCCTTTGAGCTGTGGAATATCGCCGTATTCTTCTGATATCCTGGACAGACCACATCACTAACGTGGAAGTAATGCACAGAATAGGGAAAAGCAAAGAAATAATCTTCACCGTAAAGAAACGGAAGCTTGAGTACTTCGGACATGTCATGAGGCATACTAAGTACCGGCTGCTACAGTTAATAGTCCAAGGAAGAATCGACAGTAGGAGGGACCGGGAAGAAGACGACACTCATGGATGCATAACCTGCGACAATGGTTCGGACTAACATCGACCGAACTGTTCAGAGGTGCCGTAAACAAAGTCAAAATAGCCTTGTTAATAGCCAACGTCCGAAACGGATAGGACAAAGGAAGAAAAAGAACTCATAAGTAAAAATGAAAACAGTATCTGCGGTAACCTTCAGGTGTGCCTTCAGTGCAATGTTGGTGTAATTACTGTAGAAAGGCATATCTAAATTCTCTTCGCATAATATGTCAAAAGTATTATAGCTTTCGAGATTTGAAGACATGCCTGGAAAAATGTTGTAAACTTTCATAAAGTGATGTTTCAGTGAAAAACGTTCTTTATACGTTAAGAAAACTAGTGACACACATCCATTAGAATAAAATTTTAATTTAATGCCATTCTTACAGAACTACAAAAAAGATGAGGGAGAAAAAACGTTACTTGTGAATTAATCATGGCTAGTGTGGAGAGTTATCGTCTACAACAGGTGTCTTAAATCTTCTAAATAAAAGTAAAAAACGACAAATATATTTTGAAGACTTGGTAAAAAGAAAATCGTAAGCGCTTAAAAAGATAGATGAGATAAATTTTGATGGTGATCAGTACATCTAAGTCCTTATTCATTCTTCTGACAAGCTCGTCATGTGTAACTCGGTTAATCTATGGAATCTTAAGTATTCTTTAATATAACCATATCTCAGTGCAAAGTTTCGCTTAATATTGCTCGCTCAACGTGGCTTGGACCTCCATTTTTATATTGATTTTATTCAGCATACGTATATCCTCTAGTTATGGTCTCTTCTTCTGCACTCTAATGAGTTTGACTCGAAATACTCCCACCAGTGGAAAGTGGTCTACTCCGGATAAGTCTTGATAGCTATAAAGCTGTTTCGGAATCTTCTTTTTACTAAAATGTAATCTATTTGATTTCTGTAACAATAAAACACTGAAAACTTTTGTTTTCAAACTTCCACCAAAATTTATTTTAACACTTATCACTACAGCTGTTTCGGCTGATTGCCTTTCTCAAGTGATCTATTTTTGGCATGTGTTTACACTTTATAGTCTCTAATGAAATAGGTTGAGGAGGGGAGGACTGTTTGTCTCGAGTTGGTCATTTAGAATTATATCTGTGTTTTTTAATTTGTTGATTTCCATAGATTCTAACAAGGATAGCTTAAGGCCTTTATTTTGAATGTGAATAATTTTAAATTCGTCGTTAAAAGAATGATTGTGATCTAGAAGGTGAAGTGCGTATGTACAATCTGGTTTTTCTATTATTGAAAGCCCTTTTATGTTCTGCTATTCGTTGTTAAGTTTCTACCAGTTTGACCGATGTAAGTTTTTGGGCAGTCGCCACATTTAAGTTTGTACACACCACTGTGTAAGTGTTTTTTGATTTATCAATTTCTGGTTAATTCTAACCTGAGAAAAATTAACAAACGTTTTGATGGCTGCTGATTTGAATAAATAACAAAAGGGATTAATAAGTAAAAAAATCATGTCAACATACGTACCTAAAGTAAGATGAAGATAAGATAACTAAGATAATACTAACCGAAATTGTTCACTTTATACTTGAATATAATAAAAATAGTATTTAAAAATAAATCGTTTACCCAAAACAGCTACTCTTTCAAGGTCCGAAACTATTATTCAATAGCGGAAAATTGTTTTTTAATTACGAATGTATTATAAAGGGTGATTCCTTACGAGTTAAAATTACACGTTTTAGAGAATCTTACTTAATATATATGATATCTAAAAATTTGGGATAAGGTGTTTTTTATATAGGACCAATAATTTTAAAATATTTAGAGTCTTGTACCACTTTTGGTTAGGTATAGGTATGTAACATGATCATATGTCAAACAAGATGACTCAAAAAAGATCAGTCAAAATTTCCATGGCATGCTATACAATCATATTCAAAATCATAATAACAAACATTTAATCTATACATTAAAAATACAGTAAAATCTCAGTAAGCATATATACACTTGTAAAGTGACCACCTTCTATAACCACCGATTCTGATTACGACCAGATTATTAGAAATGGAAATCCATCTTCGTCTATACCAATTTATACCGGTCATTCTCTTAAACGACCACGCGCACCCCTCATCGAAATTTCATAGAATCTATCAATAATAAAAACACTCCCAATAAAGGGTTAATAAAATAAATATGATAAACATTTCATATGCGGATCCATAAAATTTATTTCTTAAGCTTTTAAGATCTGTTTTAAACTTTTAGTTCAATTTTAATCTGTTTATGGGTAATCCAATCAGCGTCTTAGTAGTCGTTCCTCTAGAAATTTAAAGTTTTTTTGGTGATATGTATCGAAGTGATCACAAAATCGAGCAGTTGGTGGTCCAAGGAAGGCCTCAGAGTCAACGCCAATGAGTCAGATCTACACAGCTATTGCCAGATATTACGAAAAAGCTTCTCAACAAGCAGTATAGTGAGGCAGTACATGTAACATATAACCGCGACCAATGGAGAACATCATTAATCAGACTAGCCGAGCTGCTGAAGCTCAATGATGAACCACAACACATCTGCCAAGATGTTAATGGCTATGACGATGATTTGTGAATTTTGTCTTAAATTAACCAGATTAATCGCAGTTTTTAACCAATCTTCTTATAATATCACCAGTTGCATTTGATCAATTTGGATATCTTTTTGCAAAAACACCGTAAGTCCATTGTTTAAGCACTTGAAGATAGCCGAAAGTTTAAGCAATAAGAAATTGTTTTTTTTTATACCATGACGAGAAATCCAGGAATTAAATTTTCTATTTATAATATGCTTTTTATAACTTACCTTACGTATATTTTAAAAACATTCTTTTTTTTCACTTCTTTTTTACATTCGGAATTAATTTAAAATTATTATTATCGTAATAATAGAATTTCCTCTTGTTGTTTTCTACGCACGCTCTCAGACTGTACTAATGCTTTAAGTTATAAATAGCTATTTAAGCTTGTTAAGGAAGACTACTGCATCAGCGCCGGAAAACTGTGATTAGTAACGTGATTAACGTAGTTAGTATAGTAGTTTGAACTCACAAATGTAGTCTTGGTTGTGGAATTTAAGGCTAACAGGTTTAATAAAATGTTAACAGTTCTGTATCTGTCATGAATTCTATTGTGTATGTTCCAGTGTTTCTAGTGCATTATGCTCTTTTGGTAAGGACAAACATGAAGACTATTTTCCATTATACTACTCATCCACATGTGTTTGAAATATTTTTGTAAAAAATACGTCAAGTTAAGTCTTGCTGAAGTGTTAAGTCAAGTTAAGTCTTCGCTATATAGCCAAGGCTGTGGGTAAATAAAGTCGATTTCATGCACTATTTAAAGAATTTTTGAGGTCTTTACTGTGTTGTAAAGATCGATGTTAGCAACAACTCACCAGAGCGTAGGACAGTAAATTACATTACTACGTTATTACGTACATTAGAGGTCCTTTAATTTAATCTTTTATGCATTAATCTTATGAATTACTCTTTTAATTATGTTTTGCTAAGATATGATAGTTTGATTATTCCGTGTAAGAATAAGACGTGTAAGAAGTGTAAGAAGATATAATTACCTGGGAACTGTTATCAACGAAAATAATGACTGCTCTGAAGAAATCAGAATCAGAATAGAGAAAGCTAGAGCCACATTTACTAAATTGAAAAAGGTGTTCTGCGGAAGAGATCTAAGTCTAAAACTTAAAATTCGCCTTTGAGATGTTACGTTATGTCAGTTCTCCTCTACGGGATGGAAACATGGACATTGAAAAAGATCGATACCAAGAAGATAGAAGCATTTGAGTTGTGGATGTATCGTAGAATATTAAAATACCCTGGACAGAGAAAGTAACAAATGTGGAGTTTTGCGGAGAGTGCGGAAAGAGAAAGAGCTGATACTTACTGTTAAAAAGCGCAAACTACAATATTTGGGACATGTTATGAGGGGAGATAAATACCAGTTGCTGCAATTGATTATACAGGGAAAGATAATGGGAAAGAGATCTATAGAAGAAGAAGGCATTCATGGTTGAAAAACTTGAGAGAATGGTACAATTGCACCAATTACCAACTGTTTAGATCTGCAGCATCAAAAATACGCATAGCTTTGATGATAGCCAAACTTCGGAACGAAGACGGCACTTGAAGAAGAAGAAGACAAAAAAGTACAAGGCTATAACTTACATATAAAAAATAGTTACTTTATATCATTATGATATAAACATATATAACCTTAAATATTTTACTTCTAAAATATTCAACTTTAAAAAAAATACTTCTTATTGATATAATAATTTGCTTATTCTGCCTGTCTTTCCGTAATGAAAACCTCAGCGCCACCTATCCATAAAAACTACTACTATCTCGATAATTATAATGTTCTATGTAATTATAATTATAGTGTTTATAATATTCAATATTCAGCCACATCTTTTGCAATATAATTGCAAAATATACGTATAGCAGTATAGCAGTAAGCAGTATATATGTATTTCTGACTATTGGTCGTCTTCAATAAGGTGCAAGTTAGAAAAGAAGCATGATGACTTGGAAAAGGATACACTCTGCAGGTTTCAAAAGGTTTAAAATGATTTGTCATTATTTCTATTTTATTTTATACTATCCTACAATTAACTTAAAAGAATATATAACTTAAATCAGAATTTATTTTGTATTGGATGATATAGGTTCCAAATTCAACCAGACGCCACCCTTAGCGGATGATATAAAACCCATGTCATATTTAATAGGTAGCTTGGTTTTTTCGTTTAAGGTGACTTTGTAATTTTTCAAAACAAAACATAGGCCCACTTTTGATTGAATCTTTCCAAAGCGGAGACCTGAAAAATAAGTATTAATAAAAAAGTACATAAAGAATCTAAACATAAAATTTAAAAGTGATAAAAATAAATAATATCAAAGAAAATTAAACCTAAAATCGAAAATAATGGCAAATCAATGTAAATAACTAGAAAGCGTTTCTCTGTGTCATCATTACATATATACATATTGAGAATTATTTCAAAAGACTTATTTAATATTTTTCTTTATAATTTACCAATAACTTACAATAAAGTTTTGCTATGATGCGCCGTTAATAAAGCCTAATGAATGCTACCATTTTTGTAAGATACGGCCTAAGATATATATTCTCAAATACAAGCATGGCTTGAACATTAAAAGAGGGACAAGGCTTTATACTTAAAAATATATTATTAATGCTAATCCTTATTTCATCTGAGCTGACATCATCATCATCATCATCATCTTTGGCTCTACAATCCTGGGTTCCTGTTCAAGAATTAGTCCCCATTCCACCCTATCTTTCGCCCTGGTTTTCTAATTTCTGACCCCTAGATTGACCCTTAAACCTAGATCTTGGTGTGCCTCTCTTCCTGGTTCCTACTGGTTCTTGATTAGAATTCTGTCTTTGGGGGTCTCCAGTGTCCATTCTTTCAAGGTGTCCTAGCCACCTTAGTCTATTAATTTTAATAGACCGGACGATGTTGCATTTTTTATAGCATTGATACGTCTAAATTGTAGCTCCTGCGCCATATCCCGCTTTCTTGTACTCATCCGTATATGTGTCTAAGTATTCGTATTTCAAAGCGGCCTAACAGTTCTTCGTTGCTTCTTATCATAGTCCATGTCTCTGGTAGGAAGATTTAATAAGAGTTTCATATATTAGTATATTGGTTTTTCTGCTAATTATGTGTGATGTTAAGAACTGCTTTAGTCCAAAGTAAGCTCTGTTCGCCAGGTATATTCTTCTCTTAATTTCTACGTTTACTAGGTTCCTATTATTTAGTTGTGTTTCAAGATATATAAACTCCGAGACCCCTTCGAATGTGTATGCTTCTGTCAGATCTTGTGGTGCCGCTATTTGTGTGCTGTTCGTGACCTTTTGTTTTGAATACGTTAACCTGCAGTCCCATTGTCTTCGCGGCTTTTTCTAATGTTTCAAAAGCCTGTATCAGGTCTCTGTTTTGTCCGTGTTCTTCTTCTTTAAGTTCCATCTTCTATCGAAAGTTGGAAATCATCATGGCTATGCGGACTCTGTTAACTGCCGCTCTAAAAAGTTCTGCACTACTGCATTCAAACCATTCCCTTAAGTTCTTAAGCCAGGATATTCTTCGTCTTCCCACATTTCGCTTTCCTCGGATTTTGCCCTGCATAGTAGGTTGTAATAATGCGTATTTTTGCCCTCTCATGCTTCCTGGCGTAATCCAGTATGTGTTTTAAAAGACCTTGACACTCTGTTTTGTATGAGTGAGACACTTCTAAGGTTGTCTGAAAAGAAAAAGAATGCGCTAATTACAAAGAACACGATAAAAAGATCGTTCGTACTGCTGAAATGACACGATGAAGATTAGGCAAAAGATCATTGCGAAAGGCAAAAAAGTCTTGGTAATGGATTATGCTGACAGCTTATTTTGCTGGCCAAATCTGCCAAGAATTAGACCATGCAACTCCGACAAGTTGTCGGGCCGGTTGTATGAGCAGAAGGTAACAAAGCAGACAGACCAGAATAGTTATCACCGAGCTGCAGGCATAGCTCGATTATATTTAGAACTCTTGGCTCATATCAGTCCAAAAATTGATTGTCGTCAAGAGTTATCTGCTACCAAAGTACATTGAAAAGCTACAGAACCTCACAATCAACATAATAGTGTTAAAATGCATAGACAAGATCATGAGAAGAGTTAATTAGAAAGATTATGTCCTTCAATAACTCAACCAAATACAGAGGATCATTTTGCCTTGATGGCAAAAGCCTGACACGTCCCAGATAAGACGAAGCAGAATTACAAAAATAAGTCAATTCAGTTAGACCGAATACATCAACTACTTCCTCACTGCTATACATGACGCGTAAATTGGAAAAGATCCTTAAATGGTCAATAACCATAAGAGGTACTTTAACATTGATAGGACGGGAGTTGGCCCAGAAGCTAGAAAGAAGCTATATCGGTAACGATATTTTCCAGGGTGCATATCACACAGAATGCTCCGCTTGGATAAACAGTCTCCCTCTTAGTAAACGGAAAAGTTAAGGAAACTAACCCAAATACTAGATAATCTTTAATCAGAATAGGCTTAAGGAACGTTTTTGCAAAAATGCACCCAAAGAAAAAAGCTGAAAAGATAGGGTGGATTGTAGACGAAGATTTGCTGCACTTCCAATACGATGAAGCAACTCCTCACTATGCAGCTCCAGTTAGAAACTGGTTGGATATTAATTATCCGAACAAGAACAAATGTATGTAATTGATCGTTCAAGGGAAAATAGACAGAAGAAGGGTCCAGGAGGAGAAGACACTCGTGGCTCCAAAACTTGCGGCAATGGTTCGGATTGTCATCTGCTGAACTATTTAGATCTGCCGTAAACAAAGTCAGAATAGCCATGTTGATTGCCATACGTCGGAACGGACAAGGCACGTGAAGAAGAAGAACAACAAATGTATTGGAAGGATCCTATTGAGTGGCCACCAAGGTCACCAAACTCACCGCCACTTGACTTTTGTCTATGGTGTTACCTCAAGTCGCTTGTTTATAAAACTCAACCGGTGTCACTTGGGGAATTGCAAGAAAGAATTACGCCAGCTATTATGTTATATTATTAATTACGTCACGCTATTACTAGAACAACATTTGGCAAAGTTTGTGCAGAAGTTCAAAACATGCTGTGTTATTGTTTATAAAACAACGAAACTTACTTTAAACATTTACTTAATTGACATTTTTAACAAATATTTAGTTCAACAAAAACCTCATTAAATTTTCCATTTGGTGGCCAACGTTTTACAATTATTGCTTCACCCTGTATAATTATTATTTATTTCATTGAACAGCATTTTTTATAGTCTTTTAATGATGTATAGTAGGGGTTTGCAATCTAATCTTTTTTGGTTGTGAAGGGTGGGCCTAGGGGTTGATGAGGAGGACTTCTCTTACTATCCTAGAAACGGTTTTAAGCATTTTTTGATATCAGCTTTTGTTCGTGAGATACAGCCCATTTAAGTTTTAAAATTGATACACTCTATAGCAGTGCATAAAAAATGATCCATACATTTTTTGTCAATGAAGGATTTAAAAATAGTAATGACTTTAATTTTTATATTCTTTGATAACCCAAATATGTAAAAATCTGTTAAATCAAAATTTTCTTACCTATACATGTCCTGGGACCTTCACCAAATGGCATAAATGCAAATGGATGCCGTTTGGCTTTGTTTTCTTCATTAAACCGTTCTGGATCAAATTCCTCTGGATTAGGGTAATACTCTGGGTCTCTGTGAATGGAAAATAAGGGAATGCTTAAACTTATGCCAGGTTCTATAACTAAATCACTATCTGGAACATTGTACCGTTTGGTACAGATTCTTGGCAAGACACCAACGGGAGGATGTTTCCGCAAAGTTTCTGAAAATTTTTGTTCATATGAATTTTTGTTTATATTAAAAATATATTATCTGGCAGTAAAAATCAGTACCCCAATACTTATGTAATAATATAAAAAAATATTATATATAAAATAGTATATTATATCGCTCATTTACCAGAACAACGTGACATCTCGAAAAATTTGATTTTTTTATTATCCGTTAAATAAATCCGCCTTATTTCATTCTATATACTGTAATAACGTGGTATCTTTAACATAGAAGTAAAATGTATTTTGGAGGGAAAGAGACAGAAATGATGTGACAAATCATCTTGTAGCGTTGTCTCTTTCTGACACCTCGTTATTTTCGATAGCGTGGCATATTAGTTGTGATCTGTATGACGTAGGGTGAAGTGCTCTCTGTTTTCACAAACAACGTGACATCACAACTATACCACACTATTATTGCAAAGGTAAGCTACAATCAAATGTTTAATTTTATTTCTAAAATGTAACAAAGGTATTTACCTAGTTCTTCCAGAAAAAATACAGTAACATGTGAAATAGTCTTGTCATTGATATCACGTTGTTATTGTAAAAATATAATTTTTCAAAGGCGATATCAAAAGAAGAACCAGTATTGATGATAAACTTGATTTTTTTGTTTTGAATATTTGTTGTTGTGCACTTTTTCCAGAAAAATTATATTATTTCACAGTTTACTATGTCATTTTATCACGTTATACATACTAATACAAATTCATAAAGAGTGTTATTTTTGCAGATGGGGTCGCGGACTAACAAAATAATCAACTTAGCATTAGGAAATAATAGTGCTGTTGCTGGATCTTCCGGTAATGAGGTTGATAATTCTAAGAATTCTAATTTTGATAATGTTTTTGGTAAGTGAGAATTTTATAAATTTTATTATTTGCTATGGATATAAATATTTTGTAGATAATTAATCTTGTGGTTTTTTAGGAGAGGAGACGAAGCATGGAGGCGTAGTAAATCCCGGAAAACATGATCGCTGCGAATCGACGGGTAGCCGCATTTCATTAAGCAGATCATCAAGCAGTTCATCTAGTAGTTCATCAAGTAGCTCATCAAATAGTTCTAGAAAGACTATTTCGTCATTCTACGAAGGTAAGTACTTTATTAGTAACGTTACTTTGTTATTAGTTTGTTAGTTTTCACTAGTCTTCTTCATTAAGTGCCGTCTCCTAATCGGAGGTTGGATATCATCATCATTATCTTTATTTTTTTGAGGAGTTCTCTAGAACTTCATTTAAACAAGTCCCTTAAATTCTTCAACCATGACAGTCTCCTTCTTCCTATACTCCTTCTTTATCTTTCCCTGTATTATCTGTTTTAGCATTTCATATCGCCGTTCCCTCATTACGCGTCCCAAATATTGTAACTTTCTTATTTTTTTACTGGTCTACAAATTATTTTTTTTATTTTGTAGATAGTGATGACTCTGTCAAGGATCCCAATTATGAACTAGAAGAGCCAAAGCCAAAACGTATGACTGAAAGTTTTGATGATGATATCGGGAACTGCTGTGACAACATTCTATATTCAACAAAGTATAAAGAAATTCCTCCTTCTACATCGATTACTATTGACACCTCATACCAAGATACTTATCAAGATAAAACGTTACAGGACATCTTAAATGTACATCCAACTAACGCAGAGGAAAGTGTAACTACTGCGCAGCTTGAGTCGCCAGTAATTGATGAAACAGCAATGAAAAAGGGAAAGAAGAGAATAAGAAAGGAGAGTGAATGGAAGAAAAATGTTGTGAAAAAATTAAGAAATAGTGGAAAAGCATACCAATCCCCCAAATCCGGTAAAATTGTCCCCGAACGCTCTTTAAAGCCACCATGCAAAGATACCTGTACATTCAAATGTCAAGTAAATATCACAGAGAGTCAGCGGCAACAACTTTTAGCACAATACTGGGCTCTGGGGGACATTGAAAAACAATGGACATTCTTAGCGAACAACGTCGAAACAGTTGTCCCAAAACATCGTTATGTAAAATTTGATGCTCAGGGATGTGTTGCTCCAAAGCGTGAAAATAATAATGCATATTTTTTAACTGTGTCTGGGGTGAAAATCAGAGTATGTAAAACCTTTTTTAAAAACACATTCAGTATTAACAACCGTCCAATCGAAACAGCTTTAGAAAAAAAGAATAAATATACTAATATTTCTTCCATGAAGGATCAACGTGGGTGCCATGAAAATCATAGCAAGTTAGATGAAAACATAAAGAATGGAGTTAGAGAGTTCATAAAAGCAATTCCGAAAGTAGAATCCCATTATATTCGAGCGCATTCGAATAGGTGCTTCATTGATGGAAGTAAAACGGTAACAGATCTACACAGGGATTACGTAGAAGAATGTAAGAAGAAAAACCTTTCTTTTGCAACCTATGTCACGTTCTATCGTATATTCACACAAGATTTTAATATTTCCTTTTTTGTACCGAAAAAAGACTTATGTGAGGAGTGCGAAGCATATAAAAATACTACAGCCGAAGAAAAAGAAACAAGAAAAGTAAATTATGAGAAACACTTGAAGGAAAAGGAGTTATCACGCGTTGAAAAGAACAAAGATAAAAACGACGAGAATATTATTGTTGCTGTGTATGACCTTCAAGCTGTCTTTCAGTGTCCTAAAGGCGACGTTTCAGTATTTTATTACAAATCAAAACTAAATGTACTTAACCTCACAATATACAATATTCAAAATAATGTAGTTGAATGTTATGTCTGGGATGAAACGAATGCTAATAGGGGTGTTAATGAAATTGGGACATGCGTATTCAAATATCTAATGAATACTTCAAAAACCGCCAAAGATCTGGATGTTGTTTTTTATTCAGACAACTGCGCAGGTCAACAGAAAAACAAATTTATGTTTGCCCTTTACTTGTACGCTGTACAACATTTACAAAATCTTAGGTCCATAACACACAAATATTTAATTAAAGGACATACACAAAATGAGGGAGACTCAGCACATTCTCAAATTGAGAAGGAGATAAAGAGACAGTTAAGATCAGGACCAATGTATACCCCTGATGCTTTTATAGGTGCCATAAAGGCAGCGAGGAAAAAAAGTACTCCGTTTCATGTCAACGAAATGTGTTACGAAGATTTTTATGATTGGAAAAACGTATGTAATCAAATGAATTTAACTTTAACAAAAGATATGGATAACAACCCTATCAAACTGTCAGAAATTAAGGTTATTAAGTTCGAAAAGGATGATCCTTCGGTCATATCTTTTAAATATTCATATGCTGATGAAGGGTTTCGAAAGGCAATAGTGATAAAAAAAAAGAAAAACATTAATATAGAATTGACTAATGCATATTCACAGAAACCTGGTTTAGCTGACAGGAAAAAAGCAGATCTAATGGATTTGATTAAGAAAAATCTCATCCCAAGATATCACAGACCTTTTTACGAAGCTTTATAATTTTTAAGAATGTATGTTTTATGTGTCAGCAATAAATTCCGACACATTTCAGTCTGCATAAGTGCCATAAATGTTTTAAATGTTTTAAGTTTCACATTTTATTTATTACAGTATCATTTACATTTTTAGTCCAATTGAGTAATGCTGACTATACTTTCTTGATAAGTATTCTATTAGATTTTATAATGCATTAACATTAAACTTATCACTCAAAACTGTTTTGTAAAGTGATTAGGTATCTGTTTTATTACTAATGCGCATAATACTAATATTTTTACTCAATGTTTATTTACAGCATTTTTTTACTTCTGGTGTTCAAAGCATATTCATGAATGATCGTTAATCACAATTTATTTTAAGATATTTTATAACTTCCAATAAAGATTTGAATAAAAACCACTTGTTTTATTTATTTAAGTTACCAAAAACCAGAAAATTTTATCATCTACAATGTTACAAGTTAACTTATTGCATTACTTTCTTTCTATATTTTCAGAAATAATGTGATATATGTGTTTCTTTTTTTTGTATGTCTTAATTCTATAAGTATAATGATAAAATCTAGATAAATGACTGGTTTTAGTTAAAGTTAATAGTTAAAATATACACCAATTACAATTTCAAGCAAATTAATTTAGTCATTACCAGTTTATGATTTTTTGAAACTTAAAAAATGCTCTCCTGTAAAATTGTACTTTTTGTGATATCACGTTGTTCTGGTAAATGAGCGATATATATTATTATATAAAGCTTTTACTGCTTATCATTTTGTTTTTCGAATTTGGCCAAACAATGAAATTTAGCTGTTTTAAAGTTTAAAGGGGAGAGACATCGATAGGAGAAGAACAGTTTGAGTTTATGTTAGGAAGGAGGACAACGTTGGTTTTGAGACAGTTGATCCAGTTTGAGAGATTGATCTCCAACAACCAAAGTTGAGTAAGTTGAACATGTGTAGTGGTAAAAATGATGGAATAAAGTTGCGCAATCTTTAATACTTTGTTGAACTCACCTAAAAGAACTTTTTCCAAGTACTCCATTTCCATTAAACAATCAAAAGTCATGTTGTTATCATACTTATCAAGAACCCTATTTATTTCTTCTCTCACTTTCACTTGAATATCTTCACGTTGGGCGAGTTCCAGTAACGCAAATGACATTGTAGTTGCTGATGTCTCAAATCCTGCTATAAAGAATACAAAAGCTTGTGCAGTTATTTGGTTCAATGTAAGACCTTCAACATTTGCTTTATTCTTTTGAAGCAGATTTCGGTCATCATCATCTCCGATCTTTCCAGTATTTTTTAGTTGAATCAGGAGATGCATGAAATCCTTGCGATAAATATTATTCTTCTCCCTATACTCCACAGTGTTTTTAACTAAATTTAGATAAAAATTAGACGTTTCTTGGTCAAAAAATGAAATACCTAAAAATCTGAACAGCCATTCTGGAAATATACCCAATGTTATGAAAGCAAATCTGGATCTTATTGTGGGCGTAAATATTTTATTTCCGTACTTTCTAAAGTCTGAATCGGGGTTTTCTAAACTATTTATTTCCAAACCAAACGCAACTGAGCCGATTACGTCGGTTGTAAAGCAGCCTAAAGCATATTTGATGTCTATCGGTTCTTTTTTTACAGCAGATTTGTTTAGCAACTGGTGTAGACCACCGGTGCAATCTACCATGGTCTGGAACATCATCTTCATCTTACCTACAACAATATTTTTTATACGTGGTATTATAAGTGTATATTTTATTAAAAAAATGCATATTTTCTAAAGAAATGCATATTTAATGCATATGTTTGGGTAATTGATGGATTCGACCGTAACTTGATGGAAATTCATTTTATGTAACAATAAAACAGTGAAACCTTTGTTTTCAAACTTCCACAAAATTTATTTTAACTTATCAGTACAACTGTTTCGGCTGATTGCCTTTCTCAAGTGATCTATTTTTGGCATGCGTTTACATTATAGTCTCTAATGGAATAGGATGAGGAGAGGAGAACTGTTTGTCTCAAGTTGGTCATTCAGAATTATATCTCTGTTTTTTAATTTGTTGATTTTCATAGATTCTAACAAGGATAACTTAAGGCCTTTATTTTGAATGTGAAGAATTTTAAATTCGTCATTAAAAGAATGATTGTGATCTAGAAGGTGAAGTGCGTATGTAGAATCTGTTTTTTTATTAGTTAAAGCCCTTTTCTGTTCTGCTATTCGTTTATTAAAGTTTCTACCAGTTTGACCGATGTAAGTTTTTGGGCAGTCGCCACATTCAAGTTTGTACACACCACTGTGTAAGTGTTTTTTTTATTTTGGCTCTTGTTGTTTTTGATATATTTGCCTAGGTTGTTATTTGTTCGAAAAGCTGGTGGTATTCCTTTATTTTTTATGTGTTTGGATATTTTAATTGATATTTTGCCTGTATATAAAATCGAGCAGAAGGTACTGGGTTTTGTCTCTAGAAGGTGGAAATTCTAATTTAAGGGCTTTCTTGTGTAGTTTTTGATTTAACATTTTATTAAATGTTTGTTCGTTGTATCCATTGTTTACTGCTATTTGCTTGATGATATTTAGTTCGCTCTTAAAGTTGTATTTTGACATCGGAATTTTTGTTAATCTATGTAACATACTATGATAGGCTGCAGTTTATGTTGTGTTGGATGGGATGATGAATAGTGTATAGTCGCGTCAGTATGGGTAGGTTTATAAAATATGGAGAAGTCATGTTTGTTTTTAAGTCTGATAATTTTTAAATCTAAAAAGTTTATCGATTTATTTTGTTCTCTTTCTATTTTAAAATCAATACGACTATAAAGTGAATTAATATACGATAAAAATTGATGGGACTCAATATCATGAACCCACAGCCTCCTAAATTATACTCTTTCATTAAACTACACAAACCGGATCACCCAATAAGACGTGTAGTTTCTTTTTATACAGCTCCGTCATATAAGCTTTCAAAAAACTGTTAGACATTATTTTAGAACACATTCAATTTTCTCCTAAATTTACCATAAAAATACATAGAACTAGTTAATAAAATACAACATATTCAATTACCTAACAACTCCAGATTAATTTCATTTGACGTAAAAAATCTTGTTCCTAGTATCCCTCATACAAAAACTTTTATTCTAGTAAAAAACCTTTTAGACCAAAATAGTACAAATCCAATAATTACATCTGAAATTTTACATCTTCTTGAAGTTTGCATAAACCAGGACTACTTTGAATTTATTAATCAAATATAAACAAATAACAGTGCAGGACTTATAATGGGCAATCCTCTAACCCCTTCCTATCAGATATTTTTATGGATCATTTAGAGACAAAGAATTCAAAACATCCCGTATTTAAACAGTTTTTATATTGGTGGAGATACGTAGATGACGTACTGGTATGTTTCACAGGAACTAACAGGCAACTTGATCAATTTTTATCGTATATTAATTCACTTCATAGTCATATTGGTTTTAAAATAGAAACAGAACAAAATAAATCGATAAACTGTTTAGATTTAAAAATTATCAGACTTAAAAACAAACATGATTTCTCCATATTTCATAAACCTAACCCATACAAAATAAAAAACACTTACACAGTGGTGTGTACAAACTTAAATGTGGCGACTGCCCAAAAACTTACATCGGTCAAACTGGTAGAAACTTTAATAAACGAATAGCAGAACATAAAAGGGCTTTCAATAATAGAAAAACAGATTCTACATACGCACTTCACCTTCTAGATCACAATCATTCTTTTAATGACGAATTTAAAATTCTTCACATTCAAAATAAAGGCCTTAAGCTATCCTTGTTAGAATCTATGGAGATCAACAAATTAAAAAACACAGATGTAATTCTGAATGACCAACTTGAGACAAACAGTTCTCCCCTCCTCAACCTATTCCATTAGAGACTATAAAGTGTAAACGCATGCCAAAAATAGATCACTTGAGAAAGGCAATCAGTCGAAACAGGTGTAGTGATAAGTTAAAATAAGTTTTAAACTGTTTTTACTGTTTTATTGTTACATTTTTGAGTAAGTTACTTTTTTATGCATATTTGCCCAATTAAGTCAATAATACCTAATTGCTAAAACTGGACAGTTAGAAATTATAACTAAGTAAATACTCACCCGAAGTAAAGGTTGGAGTTAACTTTGCTCTCATGTCCTTCCATTTATCATCCTCTAAGTTAAACAGATGCGCCGAAATTGGATCCGCTTCTTCGTTAAAGATCAGTCCGTGGTTTGGAAAGTTCCAAAAATCTTTTTGCATTATACATTTTATAAGATCCAAATCCACCGGAATGAACTGTGGTGTAAAAAATGCATAAGCACCCCCGTATTTCTTTCCTTTCGACTTAACCCTTTGGTAGATATCATCCATCAACTCGGTCATGTGAATGTTTCTTTTAATCACTTCTTTGAAGTTTCCGAAAAAGAAAAGTGGTTCAATGTATTCGACGTTCCTGTCTTTCCAGTAAGAAAATTTTTTCTTACCTAGTAAGTACAATAAGAATGTTATAGTCGTTAGCAAACATATTATCGTAGCTATTTCCATGATGAAGTCTTTTTGAGCTGAAATTAAATCTGAATATCATAAAAATTCATACAATTATACAATTCTAATAAGAGTCAAGCACTAGTTATCTTAAAACTATACAAATCTATGACGTAGAGAATAGTTGGAAACCAGCAACTTATTTTATAATAATTTATAAGTAGTCCCAAGCCCGGAAAAACGTATGGGACAGAGGAATAAAGTATTTCTAAAAACCAGGCTTTATCTGGCGCGGATGATCCTAGCACCCTGTAGGGTGCTAGGATCTTTATCTGCGATACAGGTGAAAAATGGTCACTAGCGGAAAGGACCAGATAGGAAAGGCTGATCTCTTAGGTCTTAGCGGAAAACTGACCTAGGGAAAGAAGACCTTGATATAAAATATCACTGGCCGTCTAATTTGGGGATTGGAACAGTAGACCTGTACTTGATCTCTTATAAAAAGATGCTTTGGCAAAAAGGTCTAGACTGTAAAAATATCCTAAAAACGATACTACCTACATGCTGGTGATCTCACCTTATCGATACAAGGCCGTAGATCGATTTCATAAGACGACTTTAGTTAAAGAGTTCAGTGACTCTCCAAAAGTAACTTATCTGTTATGAAAGTTGTACCACAGACTATCATATCATTTTGTTTATGTCCCAGCCTTACGAAGAAGTCAGACAAAATTGAGTGGAGTGACTGTAGATGAATAATGATGTTATTAATAACCGGTTAACCAAAAAAAAAACGGATAATTACCAACCGGTTACTGACAATGAGAACATTGATAGAGAAGGCAAATTAATACCAACTACCCGTATTTCTTGCCTTCGTCGACTATGAAAAGGCGTTTGTTAGTATCGAGATGTGGGCCATAGAACAAGCTATTAATAATTGTATAATAGATTTGAGATATAGGCAACTAATACATAATATATATGAAAATGCAACTATGATAGTACAACTAGACGAAAATACAAATCCTATCCCCATTAAGAAAGGAGTGAGACAAGGAGACGTAATATCGCCAAAGCTTTTCAACCTAGCCCTAGAAGACGCCTTCAAAACTACAAATTGGTCAACCTATGGCATTAACGTTAATGGCAACAAGTTAAACCACCTCAGATTCGCTGACGACATAGTGATTATAGCGAGCACATTCGAGGAACTGCAAATTATGTTGGGGAACTAGCAGCCAGCTCCCAATACGTCGGCCTCAAAATCAATATGAAAAAAACAAAATAATGACAAACACAGATCACCCCAGACATAAAACTATAAACGGCAGTGAGATAGAACAAATCCAGAAATATCTACCTAGGCCAAATCCTGAGACTTGACAAAGAGAACCAAAGTGCGGAAATTACTAGAAGAGCATGGGCAGGATTTGGAAAACTTAGTTGGATACTTAAGAACCGCAAAATACCCCAATACTTTAGGAGCAAAGTGTTCAACCAATGCATCCTTCCTATCATGACATATGGATGTCAAACCTGGACCCTAACCAAGGCAAACATGAATAAACTAGCCACAACAGAAAGAACAATGGAAAGAGCAATGTTAGGTATACGACTGTCAGATAAAAAGAGGAACGACTGGGTAAAATCCAAAACAAAAGTCGAGGACATAACAACAAAAATGACCAAACTTAAATGGAACTTCGCGGGCCACACTGCTAGACAGAAAGACCAACGTTGGAATACTACAATACAACATTGGAGACCTTACGAAAGTAAACGACCAAGAGGAAGACCACAGATGAGATGGGTTGAAGACATTAAAAGAAATAACCGGAACAAATTGGAAAAAATGTTGCTCAGGATAGAGACCGATGGAAGGAGTTGGGAGAGGCCTCTGTCCAAACATGAATGACAGAAGGCTAAGAAGAAGAAGAAGACTGTAGATGAGAATTGATTGGATCCCCGTCAGATAGTGACGGGCAAAATTACTAGTAATGTTTATAAATAACATACATTTAATACAATTATATTTTAAGTAAATAAATAAAAAAAAAATAACAATAAAAAGGTGACTTAAAAAAAGATTTGTACATCTCGAGGCCATTGGATGCCTTGTTTTGAATAAATTTGAAAACACAATAAATCTATTCTAACGTCGTACCTCAGTTACCAAATAGCAAATTTGATCCAGTAGAAGACGAAATATGTCATTTCTTGTCCGAGAGCTCTATTCTGAAACTGTGTTCGATTTTTTAAAGAGCGGTACTGACCCCTCAGTCGGCTATACTCACTCATTTTACTCTAGTCGGAACGAAAATTGCAATCCAAGAAACTAAGAAGAAAGGTAAAGGCCAAAGAAAATATAACCAATATTTTCTAGCATACAGTGGAGTGAAGAAAGAATCAATCAGAGAATAGGGATACTTGTCCATAAAAAAACATAAATAACTGCCGTTATATCTCCTTAAAGACAATATAAATAACTGCCGGTATATCTCCGAAAGAATAATACATATGAACATCACAGTGGCCTACCAAAAATTAAATGTCATATCTATCTATAGCCCCGAGGGCTGTAAACCTAAGGAGGAACGAGAGGCACTCTACAGACAATTGCAAACTATCCTGGATGAAATACCTCACGAAGAGCCCTAATTCTTATGGGTGACTTTAATTCGCGAATCGGAAATGAAATAGTTCCAGGAGTAAAACAAAGTATTTGATAAAAACCATGTCAACGCAAATGGAAAATTCATAGCTAATCTCTGTGCTTTTAACGAACTGAGAATCAATAATACATTTTATGACCATAAGTCCAGTATAAATATATATTTGAAAACTTCAGGGGCATAAATCTATGATTGATTTTATAGTCCCTTAGATTGATAGAGAAAAATCCAAAAATCCAGCAGACGCAGGAGTGAACACAAACTAGTACTAGCAAAGATAGAATAAAATAACACCAAAACAAATTTTCTACAGGAAATCACCGAGCAAAAATTCAATGTAAAATCACTGTGGAACGACTCTACAAGAGAAATGTACCAAAGGAGGCTAGCACAGAAGATACAGCTGAAACAAATAGACGACATCGAAGATATAAACTGGGAGAAAATTAAAAACAACATTGAAGAAGCAGCAACAGAAGCTCTAGCAAAACGCAAAGTCGTACTGAACAAAAGAAACAACAACAATATACCATGGTTCAGAAAAGAAATAGAAGAAAAACATAAAGAGGAACGAGAGGCCTACACGAAGTACAAAACATCAAATACCCCAGAATCCCAAGACAACTATAGAAGAATACGAAATGAAAAAAAGCAGTTGGTAAAAGAATAAAAATGAACACTGGCAACAGTTTACAAAAAGGATGGAAAGCGGCTTCTATGGTACATAAAAACAAATATGGAGATTCATAAGAAACCAACGGAAAGAAATGGCAGAATTGAAGGAATACAATAACATACTAGCAAACGAATGGGAAAAATACCTGACGGAACTATTTAAATCAAAGGAAAATAATTATCAACACAATAACGTACCTGAATTAAGACACAAAGTAGAAATCAGTTTTCAGAAAGTAGAAATAGCCATAAATTCGCTTAAAAATAGAAAGTCACCAGTACCAGACGGAATAATCAACGAGCTTCTAAAATACGGAGGAGAAAGTATAACCCGGCGGAGGAAGGCGATGGATGGGGACGACTGGAAAAAACTCTTGGGGAGGCCAGGACCCACACAGAGTTGTAACGCCAAAATGATGATGATGATGAAGTATAATCCTAGAGATGACAAAACTTATACAAAAACAAATATTGCAAGAAACCAGACGCATGGAGAAACAGCATAATGATACCAATGTTCAAGAAAGGAGATAAAGAAAACCTGAACAATTATAGAGGTTTAAATCTACTGAACACCGCACTTAAGCTCACTACAAGAGTCCTAACCAACAAAATCAATAAATTAACAACTTGATCAGATGAACAACAAGGATTCAGAATTTCAGATCCGGAAGATTCTATGCATACGCCGTATTTGTACTAAAAAAATTACCATCGAGTATAATAAACCAGCATATCTATGTTTTATAGACCTGACAAGGCTTTCGATCGTATCCAAGTCGAAGACGTCTTACACCTACTGTATAAAAGAAACATACCAATCAAAATTATACAAACCATCGAAAACATCTACTTCCATAATCGAATACAGGCAAAGATAAATGTAAAACTAACACAGTGTATGCCAGCACAAAGCGGAGTCAGACAGGGTGACTCGTTAAGCCCACTTCTCTTTAATATAATAATGGACGAAATAATACAAGCAGTAAGTAAAGGTCATGGGGTCCCCATACAGAATGGGGAACAAAGAAATCCAAATATTATGTTATGCAGACGACGCATTAATCGCCGAGACAGAAGACGAGCTCCAAAAATCTTCAATACAACAGCCAAGAAATACAATATGATAATATCAGCAGAAAAAACTAAATGTATAACAACATCTAAATAGATTATCTGTAGTTTCAGTATTCCATAAAGAAAGGACACCCTCCTTACTTGCACCAGCAAGCAAATTAGGGCACATTTTGTTATAACATAAATTTGACAATGTTTGGCTTCCTATAAAGAGATACTAGCGGTTAAAAGCAAAGGTTGTCCAGTCATCGTCGACGCATACAACAAGAGTGATCTTCACTTTGAAGCCTATGAGTCAGTGTTGCCAATCGGCGCATAATTATGCGATTTGCGCATAATTTAGTTGCCGGCGCATAATTTTCGCATCTTGCATAAAATCACATAATTTCGCACAATCCAGCAAAGCAAAAAAAACCAATGACAAGCCACAGTTTATAATAAGAGTCCTCGTCTTCTTTTTTCTTTTGAAACAAAACGTTTGTGATGACATTTTACACAGCCACAAAATAATAAACAATTGGGTTGAGTTTACCGAAAGTACAAGCTGAATATAGCCGCAAATGTCAAATATATTTCGGTTTGGCAGTGTTGGCATGTTTTTATAACGCATGTTGTATGCTTTAAATATAAAGAGATAAAGCTTTTAAAAA